GATTGAAAGTAATTGTTGGTAGCTTTGTAGTTATTGCCATTTTATTATTCATATATATATATATATATATATATATATATATATATATATATATATTCATCTTAAATAAGTCCCTCTAAGATTCCTTGTAATACTGGTTTGGTGGTGAATAACTCTTTTAGCTTTTTCTTGTCTGGGATGCTCTTTATCTGTCCTTCAAATCTAAATGACAGCTGTGCTGGGTAGAGTAATCTTGGTTGTAGGTCCTTGCTTTTTATCACTTTGAATATTCTCTGCCAATCCCTTCTGGCCCGCAAAGTTTCTGTTGAGACATCAGCTGATAGTCTTATGGGAGTTCCCGTGTAGGTCACTAATGTGCTTTTCTCTTGCTACTTTTAATTTTCTTTGTCTTTAACCTTCAGCATTTTAATTATGATGTGTCTTGATGTGGGCCTCTTTGGTTTCATCTTGTTTGGGACTCTCTACGCTTCCTGGGTTTGAATATCTATTTCTTTGCCAGGTTAGGGAATTTTTCTGTGATTATTTCTTTAAATAGATTTTCAGTCCCTTGCTGTCTCTATTCTCCTTCTGGTACCCCTATGATGAGAATGCTGGTATGCTTCATATTGTGCAAGAGGCCCCTTAAATTGTTCTCATTTTTCTTGGATTCTTTTTTCTTTTTGCTGTTCTGATTGGGTGTTTTCTGCTCCCTTATCTTCTAAATCACTGATTCAGTCCTCTGCTTCACCTAATCTACTATTGATTTCCTCTAATGTATTTCTTATTTCAGTTATTCTTTATTTCTGACTGGTTCTTTTTTATGTTTTCTATATCCATTTTTATGTTTCTTATCTTTTTGTTGAAGTTCTCCCTGAGATCACCCCTTGTGTGGGTTGCATGTATCCTTCTGTTGTAGTTGAGCCTTGGCTGCTGTTTGCACATCAGTAGAGGGGATTGACCCTTGGGCTCCTTGTTTGTGAGGTCCATATTTTTTTTATGCTTTTCTTCAGTCTTAAATTGTATTTTTCATCGTGGTTTTATTTTATTTTTTTTAATTTATTTATTTTATTTTATTTGTTTCAGGTGTACAAAAAAACATAATGAGTAGACATTTATACCCCTCTCAGTAACAACCTCCCCCCAAGTCTACCACCCCTCTGACATCATACATAATATGACAATACCATTGACTATAGTCCCAACAGTCTTAAAACTTTTGTTTATGATGCACTAGGTGTCTTCCATTGCCTGCTTTAAATTCTTCTAAAACTCATGTTTTCCACAAGGAATAGCTATATATAATGATATTTTTTGGCCAGAAAAGTTTGTATTTATACAACAAATGTCATAATGTTTTATTACCTACAGAGAAAACATCCAGATGATTAACTTTTTCAGTTTTTACCTAAATAGTCTGTTGTCTTTTAAGCATGCCCCCCATCTTTAGGTTTGCAAACTGTTCCTTATAAATATTAGTCAGTTTTCTGGGTTTCTAATGCTTATTATTTTCATGCTGTTATCAAGCCTGTTTATATTTTATAAATAGTCAAACGCTACAGCAGTACTCCTAAATTGAACACGTATGTTAAAAAGAGCCTTGTTGTTGAAAGAGTGGTGTAGTTGTACGGTGTCTGTAGCTCTTTCTGCTACTGCCATCTAGTGGTTCCCCTCACTAGATGTATATTCCAGAAATGTGTGCTAGAAATTGCATGTAGGCAGAATCCAATAGCTAAAGATATCCAACTAGAAATTATAAGGTGGTTTTTTTCCACATTGTATAGGAAAAACCCTTTATGATATTATCTAGGGAAGAATAGGAAAAATGTGTTACCTTCTTGTGAACCCTCACAACTTCTAGTTGCATGTTTCTTAAAATGCCCTACATGCTGAAGCCTAAGGGATGTGACATCAGAAGTGCTAAGAGCTCTTCACTCTTGTGCCTCCCACCTTCAGCCACTGTATGAGCCAGCATGGTTCTTAGGTGTCCCTGGCCAGAAGGAGACACCCACACCTGCTCAGCTCTGCTCCTGCTGAGACCTGAAGCTGCTACTGACCCCTACACATTCTGAGCTGTGCACAAAGGTGTGATGTGGAAGAAGAAAACTATGTTAGAACAGTGCACTGCATCTCTGTCCACCTCCACACAGGCAACCTGTGACCTGTGAGACTGGGAGAATAGAACTAAGTGAACAAATGCTTTAATAAAGAGCAGCATCAAGACCCCCCATAAAGCTGATCTCTAGTTCTTCCTTTATGAATTAATTTGTGGATGTGTTAAATGTTTTCTCATTTGTGGCAGATTTTCATCAACAGTATGTCCTGAGCACTTAGCACAGTTCCTAGTAGATAGAAAGCACTCAGAATGTATTTGTTGAATGAATGAACTTAACAAATAGGAAAAGTAAGTACTGCTCTGAATAAGTAAGGGTTTGGTGAGGCTGTTCGTTTGGTCTATGAAGCAGAGCTTTACATGTCCTTGTGTTTCATATTAACCATGTAATTTTCTATATTTCATCAAATGATAAGTGAAACTAATTTTGAAACCTGACATCTTAATTTGAATTCTTTCTTTGAAGATCTCTACCAAAACCCTTTTTGCCAATATAACCAGTACCGTTTATATATAATCTACCACCTCCCAGGAGTAGAGTTACTTGACCGAAATCGTAAGCACACCTCTTTCTTGCAGAGAAATATTTCAGAGATAGTCTTATAAGCCAGTGGTTTAAAAATGTTGAATATCTTTGAAAATAATCTTAGTAAATGAAAGTTTTAAAATTATTTTTGAAAATTTTGCTCTATGAAATTTGTTCTACTTTAGAAATTTAAGCATCTTGATCACTGTATTAGAAAGGCCATCTTAACTGATTTTGACATTTAATGTGTTGAATGCCAAATTATTTCATCTCTGACAACTTAGTTTCTTATTTCAAAAATGAGAGCATTGGGCCAGCCGAGTGGCTCAGTTGGTTAAGAGCTCGCTCAAGAGTTTGAGCTCTGAGCAACAGTGGTTCGATTCCCAACCCGAGCTGAGCAGCCACTGAGCTGCCAACAGGTGGCAGGGTGGCTCAGCTTAAAAAAAAAAATTGAGAGCATTGGACTAAATCTCTTAAGGTCTATTTAAGTTTTAAACATATTCTTTTAAATTCTGTAAATATATATGTATGAAAATTTATTTATGTATTTATTTATTTATTTTTTTTTAACTGAGCCATCCTGCCACCTGTTGGCAGCTCAGCAGCTGCTCAGCTTGGGCCGGGATTCGAACCACTGTTGCTCAGAGCTCGCACTCTAGAGCGAGCTCTTAACCAACTGAGCCACTCAGCCGGCCCTTGTATGAAAATTTATATAATCAATGATAACTTCTTTATGAATACATCTTTAGACACTGTAGATAAACTAGTAAGTCTGATTCATTTAAGCCATAAAAATAATCAACTTCAGTGCATTACATTTTACATTTTTGGAGGCCTGTTTTACTTTACCTCCAAGTGCTTTATTACCTATCTATTTACCTTTCTATCTCTAGGTTTGAAACATTCTTGATAATTAATTATTGAGTACCTCTTAATGAGGATATATCAAAGCCTTATGTTTACACCTCTTCCTCCTCACAGCCTTGAGGAAATGAGAGATGTATCATGGGTGTGATTTCAATCGTCCATGGTGTGATGTGTTAGAAAGTCTGTGAGGCATTAGGATTGATCCGTGCCTGTGACATGAGGGGCAAATATTGAGTACTTGTAAGATTATGGAAGTAACTGTGATAGCCTTTCTCAAATTAGTTTTGACAGGATGTTCACATATAACATAATTCAGATAAATACATTTTTGAATGTGTTCAATTCTGTTTTGAATCACTCTGATTATGTATAATGCTATGCAATAACATTACTTTTTGCATTTATCAGAAGTTACAGAAAAAGAAAGAAAATCAATGATTTCCATTTTTAACCATAAAAAGGCTCATATTATTCAATCAATATCATTTGGAAGAAAAGTAGATGCCTCATGGGATCCTAGATCACCATTTAAGCAAAAACAAGCCCAGAGAGCACCTTCAGGTATTTTGAAAAAAAGAAAAAAATGAAATTAAAACTTCTCAAACTTTTGGGTAATTTGTAATAAGCTAAGTACCTACATAGTGAAATAAATATTTTATACTTTTATTAGCCTAATGAAAATGACATGCTATTATACACACACACACACACACACACACACACACAATTAGGTAATGTGATAATGAGATGTACATTGAAATCCTTACCCCAGTATCTAGCAAAGTGTAAAGGGATCAGTAAATAAGCTACAATTGTTATTATACCACTATCACTGGAGAATTTCACCAATTAAGGCTATACATTTTTTATAATATGGAAAAAAATAAAGAAATAAAGATCCTCTGCAATTTCTCCACCCAGAAAAAAGCACTGTAAATATCTTAGTCATTATTATATGCAAGTATAACTTGAATATCTTCAGATGTTTCATTAATTTCTTGTATGTAACAGAAATCTAATTACAGTGACTTAAGCAAATAGAGGTTTATTTTTCTCACATAGTAAAGGGTACAAAGGTAGGGTGTCCAGGGTTAGTGTAAAGTTCATTGATGTCATCAGTGTTCAGGAACACACCTATCTTTTGTTCTGCTACTGTTAGTGTGCTTTATGGTTACAATGTGGCTGCTGTACCACCATGTATCACAAAAAAGGATTAAGAAAAGATACAAAGACAAAAGCCTTTTCCTCATGACATATTGCAAACATGCACTTGAAATTGAAAATACATTCTGGAATAGATTCTCTAGAAACGAAGGGAAAAATATTAAATTGGAAAATAATTTTGAAGAAATTATCCAGAACGCAATAGAGAAAGCAGGAGATAGAAAATATTAATTAGCTGTTGAGACAAGGAGACATTAGAAAGATAAGGTCCAATTTAAGTTTAGTAATTCTGAAAGGCAATTATATGGAAATTGGACAGAAGGTGATGTTTGAAGTAACAATGGCTGGGAATTTTCCAAAATTGAGAAATGATATGACTCTTTAGATTCACCAAACAAAATTAATCCAAAATCTTAAAAGACATAACAACAAAAATTCATACCAAAGGCAAAATGATCTTAAAATAGAGAGAAAATGTAAATTTACCTACAAAAGTATAATTTATAGATTCACAACAAACTCCCCAACTGCAGTTATGGAAGTCAGAAGACAGTGATCTGATACCTTTAACACGCTAAGGAAAAGGAATAGTCAACCAAGAATTCTATAACCAGCTAAGTTATTATTTAAGAATAAGCAAAAAAAGAAGAAAATGAGGGCAAAAGTCAAGGCTTTTCCCTTAACTTTGTATTGTGAAATTTTTCATAGGAAAAGTTGAAAGAATACTAAACATCTGTATATGCCCATCTATATTCAATAATAATATTCTGCCATATTTGTCACCCTCAATATGAGGCTTTGCCTTATGTAAATTGGAAAACATAAAATATTGCTGAACAATTTAAATACTTCAGTAACAGACATCATGACATTTCACTCCTAAATAATTTAGCCTGTAAATTTAAAAATGTTATTCTCCTATATGCCATTATCACACCTAAGGAAAATAACTTATTTATATTACTGAATATTTAAGCCATATTCAAATTATCTCAGTTGTTCCAAGACGGCTTCCATAGTTGCTTTTTCAAACCAGAATCCAGTCAAGATTAATAATTACATTTGGTTGTTATGGCTCTTTCATCTCTTTTAATTTAGAATAGATTCCGAAACTGTTTCCACAACTTTTGGAAGGGACCAGGCCAATTATATTGTAGAATGCCTCAATTTGTATGAATGTGTCTACAAAGTGTCATTTAACTTATTCCTTTATTCCTATATGTTGCATAGAATAGAAGTAATGTCTGGAGGGCATGGTCTGGATGCAGAAGAATATAGAGTCGAGTAGTGGTACTCAAAGTGAGGTCCCCAAAATCAGCGGCGGCAGCAGCATCACTTAGTAATTTGTTACAAATGCCCATTCTTGCCCCAAACAATACCTACTACATTAGAAACTCAAAGTGGGAACCCCGGGAGCTATGTTTCAACAAGCCTTTCAGGTGATTCCGTGCTTCCTCCAGTTGGAGGACAACCACTGTGCAGGCACCATCACAGCTTTGGGATCAGGTTCCCCTGGACTTAAACACTGGCTTTGCTAGTAAGTACAAGTTTTATTTTGGACATTTGCTTCAGCTTTCTGATTTTTAAAACGGGGATAATATCTTCCTCTGGCTGTTATGATGCTTAATATGTCAAACATTGAAACACCTGATCTGACGCATTATCAAGTGCATGATAGATTGTTCTATGAGTCAGCCACTTCCTTGATTGTTCTTTTACTTCTTCATCTAAGAGCTGATGTCCAGACTGAATGGTACTGGATTATTGGGGGGAAAAGCCATTCTGTGGTAGAAAAAGAATTTCTGGATAGAATATGTTCACTTTCAAAAATAGCTAATGCACCCAATAATAAGCAATATAAGGCCACTCACCATGTAATTATTATAGGTGTGAAGAGGATAGCTGATCACTACCTGTAGTGCTTTACATTTCTTTTGTGTAAACAGGTTGCTTTTTCATATCAAACCTCCAAAAACAAAATTGAGGAAGAAAGAATAAGGAGAGTATTTTATTGCACTTAGAAGTTTTTCTTCTTAAGTCACATTCTGATTTATAGATATAAGACTATATATAGTCTTCCTAAAAAATGGGCGGCACAACTCTAATCAATCTATTCAGATTCTAACAACCAAACATTTATAATGAAACTAATAAATAGAATGAAACCACTATGTAAGTTTTTTAAACTTGTGCATTATAATTTCGTTTCTATATTGATTTTGACATAAATCTTATCTTACTATGACATGTATATTTAGGACTCTGGATTCTCTCACTGGAAAGAGAATGTACTTGGAAATGTTTAGAGGCAATTGTAACACCACATTTTTATTTTATTATCCTTAACCCTAAATTGAGACAGAAACCAGCAATGCTTCAAATAGCTAGAAAAGTAAGGCCAACTTGAAGTTTCTTCAAATTCCAGCTTTGTCATCCCTATCCAATAGGTATGGTTAAAAGGCATATACCTATTTCCATTAATGTCTTTGGTTCTTATTGCTTGATCACCAATATTCTCAGAGCCAAAACTCTTTGGGCTTTCATACGACTTGAAGGAAAAAGACATTTTCAGGTTTCCCACCAAATACCTAAATTGGAAAGCCAGCAAGGGTTATTTAAAATAAATGAAAATACCGATAAAATTTTTAAATGTCTACTAGTGGTGCCAAAGTGAAACTGCTGGATTTCCATCCTGTTTGCTTTTCTCCCCCAAACAAGACGGAACTCTGGGTGCTGAGAACAGGCTGAGGGACAGCACCCCCGAGCCTGGACCTGGCAGCTGAGGCAGGTACTCCTCAGGCACAGAGCAGAAGAAAACCAATGAGGAAAATCAGGCAGACCATTCAACAAATGGCAGTTCACTACAGTGGGCCAATCCAGGTACAAGGCAACAGGACAGAATTGAGAGAAAACAGAAAATTATAAGTTTTGAGCTGGGGGGAAGGCTCAGAAAACAGGGCTTGAAGACATCTGTGATTCTGGGTCTTGCATGAAGGGTGTGATAGGTGACAGAGGTCAATGTGGGGTCTGGAGACTGGATGACAACTGAGAAAAGTATGCAGATTCTGGAGGATTTGTGAAGGCAAAAATCAGCAGTCGGCAAACCATCCATGTAGGCACCATCTACATAGAAATCAATGACGGGGGCCCCTGGAGTTATGCCACGCAGTTGTCCTGGGCCCAAGATTATCTTATAAGGGAGACACCATATGCAAAATAAGGTCCAGAGAGATTAAATATCTAAATGTAAATGAATTGAAAAGTGTTAGAAAAAAAAATACTTTGGTAATCCCCAGGTGAAGAAGGCCAATCAAACCCTTACACAAACCCCAAAGCCATAAAAATAAAACGTTGACAGGTTTAACTACATAAAAATGAAAACCATTATATAATCTAGGAGCAAAATTATAGACACAATTGGAAGAAATATTTGCAGTATACACGATAGGCAAAAGTTAATACCCATTATGTCAAAGGGCTCCTATAAATTAATTTGAAAGTACAATTGAACAATGAGATACCATTTTCATTCAGCAGGTAGGCAAAAGTATTGGTGAAGATGAGGGCAGAAAAGACAGCAACTTACATATCCCTGATGGGAGTGTAAACTGGTTCAACTCTCTTGGAAGACCACATGGCAATATGGCCATATCCATCAACACATAAAATGTGCAAACCATTCAGCACAATTAAATTTGAAGGGTCTCTCCAACAGAAGTACTTGCACACATATGAGACAAAGTATATGTATAAAGCTGCTCACTGAAACATTTTTTGTAATAGAGAAAATAGTGGAGACAATCTGGTCATTCATAGAATGTTAGGTTGTGGCATATTCATGTAATACAAACTATTGCATTATAGAATTATTCCATGATCTAGTTTGAGTATGAAAAATACATCAAGGAGAGTAATGCTAAAATTGGAATTGTGTCAACCAACGAATCTCTGTGTATACATATGTGTGTGAATACACATGCGTGTGTATGCACATAGGGGGCTGGATGCATACGTACAAAACTCTTAATGGTGATATTTCTGATGAGAGGAACTGGAAAGGTCAAAGGGAGATTTTATTTTTTTACTCTTTTCTTGTTTATATTCATTCCAAGCAAAATGGCGCTTTTTGTCATTAAAAAGGTAGAGAAAGACTGTCTAGGGAGATCAGAAAGGGCCTGGGAGACTTGGGTCAGCCACCTGTGAAGGGAAGGACACAGTGAAGTCTTCTCTGTAGGCAGAGGCCGTATGCTCCCTGCTGCTCGTGGATTGGCAAAAGCTCCCATGTTGGCTTTGGTGGCCCAACAGGTGCTGGTGCATTCCGTCTCTAGTCTGGCGCTAGGCCTTCTGGAGAGGAGTAAACAAAGCAATGACAGTCCCTGGAAGACATCACAAGAAATCCAAGCTTGGAGGGTGAGCCTTTGAGCTCCAAAGCTAGGGAAGATGTAGATTCTTGTGATCTAGGATGTGTTTATTCCATTTCTTTGAAGTTAATGCCAAGAATCCAAATGGTTTAAACTACCCTAAATATTTGTCCCCATTTGGTCTATTATTCCATTTATAGATACATGTGCCTGTCTGAAAGAAAGGGATCAGTTTCTGCACATGAGACTCAATATCTTAATCATAAAAATTCCCACTTGGATTCCATTGGTAACTACATTGATCAAGCATTCTGTTCTCAGAGTTTTGAGATGTGTATTGTATTAAAGAATTGGCGTCAAAACCTAAGAGAAACCTTAACACACTCATCTAAGAGAAAATTTCAGTTTGGAGTTAGGTATCAAGGTTTTTCTGATGGATTGAATTATTCATCTAAATGCTTGCTTGAAAATCAGAGTTATGCTCACTTTTCCTTTACAACATTGTTCCATTGTTTTAAAATGCTGAATAAACCTTTGAAAAATACTAATTTAGAAATTTATTTTATTTTTTTTTAGAGTTTGAATTTGCGAGTAATGCAGACAAGTAAGTGGTTTTTTTAAACTGGTATCAAATTATTTCATAATTGTGTTCATTCCCTAAATTATTCCCATTTCCCAAAATAGATTTTAGTGAGTTAAAAAATGACTAACTCTTTAATAGGAAAAATTGCTATATCTTTCTGTGATAAATGAGTTCAAGCTATGTCTTCATATTTGACATATTTAAGTTTTAATATTGTTATAACCTAAAATAAATGAAAGTGTAATCTGATGCATAAAAAATAAAACTTAAGAATTATTAGCTATTACAAATAAGAGTCTTTACCTTCCTTGTTTACTGTTTCCCTAAATATGCCCAGTGAGAACAATTATTAACATTTTATATTCACTGGAATTTACATTTTCAAAAACAAATACTTCATTAAACTATGAAAAACATTTCAAATTCATGAATATTGATCATTTAAAAACCATTATTCTCTTTTAATTTTGCACTAAGGAATTTTTTCTTTAGATTCAGTGTTGAAAAACATTATCCCCAAGCACATTTATAAAATATAGCATAATGTAGTAAAAATAATAACTTTCCAATAAAATGTGTGTAAGATATGAAGATGCACATGAGATCTAGAAGTATTTTCATCATTTCATTTAACACTGTTTTAAAACATTAAATGTGTGTTTATGCATGAAAGCGTGAATGTGTGAGACCTAAACTGTCATAGCTGATTCCAAATATGGTCAAAAAATGATATTATTAACATAAACTATATAAATAATAAAATTAGTGTTACTTATCCTGAAAGTCACTTGTCAGTAGAGCCCAAAAGTTGTTAGTGGTACTATACTACAAATAACACAAAAAAATACAGCACTGAGTTATTTAAGTTAAAATTTAATTTTGGCCTAATTGATTTTCTTTTCTGACATAATTGCCATTTTTGCAGAACTGTGTTTGATGACCCAGAAGATGCTGTTTTTGTAAGGTCCATGAAGAGATCAGTGATGACTATTACCTCTCTGAACTGGGATACGGTTCCAACACGAGAGGAAAAATACCTTGAAGAGAAAGGCACACAACCTGTTCAAATGCTCACAGTTACACTGAGATAACCCTGGTAGTTCTAGAAATCCTAGTGGTTCATCTGTATATTAAAGTTTTCTGTGATTTACCATATTACATATTGATTATGTATTATTTGAAACAAATATAAACAGAAACATCAATAATGTAAAAGGATTCCTACATTTTATGCTAAGTTTTTGTTGAAGTAAAACATGTATATAGAAAGGTACACAAACCATAACTGATCAAGTCAACAAATTTTCAAACAATGAAGACATTCATGTAACTGGCCCCTCCGAGATTAAGAAATAGAACATTACCAGCACCCTAAAAGCCTCCTGATTTCTAAACTAGGTATTAATTTTTATCTCCTTTTGAAAGGCATAAATATGGAATCATAGAAGCTGAACTATTTTTTTGTCTGGTTTCTTTTGCTCGACATTGTGAAATTCACCCATGTTGTTGCTAGTAGCAGTAATTCTATTGTTCTCATGCTGTATAGTATTCCATTATACGACTATACCACAATTTATTTACCCAGTCTACTGCATTTTTAGTCTCACCTGCGGAGGCATTTGTCAGTTCTGTGTGTGGGTTAATGATCTGAGCTTGGTCTCTAGCCAGAAGAATTCTGCTGGAGGAAAGAGAAACCAGAAAAGCTTTCAGCAGTTGCCTGGTACATAGACACAAACCTGGACAGGTAAGGTAACTCAAACACATTGCTGGTTTTCTCCAGCTAAGCTCGAGAGCTAGAGCAAAAGCTTATAAAAAGCAGAATGATGTTTCCCCCTATCTGATGGTGCTTCGAACCACCACACTGTAACATAGACATACGTTAGAAGTGGGGCTGAACTCAGAACAGGCAGGAGATGAAAGCCCTAGAGGGAGTGGAGAACTATCTCTGAGAATCTGTAATATTCTTTTATCTGTGGGCACCTGTGATTCTGGGCACAGCCAGAGTCTGAAATTCAGGTATAGTTCTTGGCAGAAGTCTGCAGCTGAGAGAAAGAAAAAGAGAGTTTGGCATTGATGTGGGTGAGTGGCTGATACCAGGGCAAGAGTGACAGCATGTGGCTTCCAAGACTAGGCCATAGAAACAATAGAAATGTTCTCTTGCTTCCTCTCCTGGATCACGCTTTCTGCAGGACGCCCGCTGCCATATCATGTGCTCACTTAAGCAGTCCTCTGAAGAGGTCCAAGTGGTGAGGAACTGAGCTCTCTTTCCAAAAGCCAGGGAGGAACCAAGGCCTTCTGCCAACAACCAAGTAAGTGGCAAGCCATCTTCCAGACCCAGTTAACCGTCTTGCACGCACATCCTCCAGACCCAGTTAAACCCTCAGAGGACAGCAGCCTGGCTGACAGCTTCACAGCACCCTCCTCAGAAACCCCAAGCCAGAACCACCTAGGGAGGCTGCTCCTGCATTTCTGGCCTGCAGAAACTGTGTGAGATGATACTTATTGATGCTTCAAGCTGAGAAGTTTTGGAGTAACTGGTTACACAGTAACAGATTAAGTAACACAATAACCCAGCGTAACCCATGATGCTAGAAGTACTTGTAGGTAAGGATGCCTTGTGAAGTCTCTGACATGCTCGGAAAAGGGGGTCACAGTCCAGTCTTCAGGGGTTCATGAATAAGGCCACACCATCAGCAGCAGAGAGCTAAGCACTATTCAGTTAGCAGTTCTTGGCATGCTACTGCACCCATTCTAGAACTAAGAGCCTGACTGTTGATCATCATGTAGCAGTTTGATCAGAACTACTCATAATGAGCTGAGTATATCAGACCCACCGACCAATAATGCTGGGTGGGCATAGCAACAAATCCATTTCATGATGGAAACAGTATATATCTGCAATCAGCTTTAAGCTGGCCCGTGTGTTGCATAAGAAGTATTAATTTTTAATTAGATTACAATAAGTTAAGGACGGGATATTGTAATCTCCAAGTTAGCCACTAAAAGAGTAGTGAAAGAATGTGTAGTCTGGTATTTTTTAAGCCTACTATCACTGAAAAGGATAAAAAAAATGTATTCCAATTATAAAAATATGGCTAGGAAATTTTAATCTCCTTTTTAGAGAACTAATGGAAATATATTTCATTTGTATGAAAAGATTTGCTTTAGAATGCACTCCTCAATACTGTTTTTATTCAGTAGTGAAGAGTGACTAAGTGTCTGTGATTGGAAAACAGTAGTAAATACTGTTTGGGGAGAAACACAAAATAGAGAAGATGTGATTCTTACTTACGTAACCTAAAACTCTACCAAAATAGAACACACAATTGAGAGAGTGCTTTTAATTAAGTTCTCTCTTTTAAACAACAGACACCCATTTAAGCTTGCTCAAGTGAAAGCAGGTTTATTCCAGCATTCACCAGACCTCATGACTAGGAAACAGGAAACACTGATATATACATCTGAGAGAGCAGAGGCGATGAGCAGCAGCTCTGGAATCAGACAGACTGCCATAGCTTTTCCACTTTAGGTATGTTACGTGGACAAGTCAGTTAACTTCCCTCGGCTTCAGTTTCCTATTATTTTAAAATAAGAATCGTGGTTATCTCACGGAGTCTCAAGGTTTAAGTTAGATAACGTATGTAATGCATTAGGTAGAGTAGCTTCTAAGAGGGAATGCTTAATGTATGTTGGTTCATGCCGTTCTTACCCCAAGAGCAGCTGTGCCTTTCAGGGACTGCACCTGGTATCAAAGTCTGAATGTTGACCCCTCACCCCCACCAATTCATATGCTGCAATGTGATGATACGGGGAAGTAAGGCCTTTGGGAGGTAACTGGGTCATGCCAGTGGAGCCCACATGAATAGAATTTAGTACTCTTACAAGAGACTAAAGAGCCACATTGCCCTCTTTCTGCCATATGAGGACACAGCAAGGTGGCCCTCTGTAACCCTAGAGGACACTCACCACCTTGACATTGCCATTCCGATATCTTTGACTTCCAGCCACCAGAGCAGGGAGAAATAAATGTTTGTCATATAAGCCACCTTAGGCTATGATAATTTGTGATAGCAGCCCAAACTTGGACACCTGGTCTATTATTCTGGGTTCTTCAGAGAAACACCAAGGGTGCCAACAAAAGTACACATTTTAAGAGATGTTATCTATGTATTACTTTTTGAAGTTGAATTACAGTAGCAATGTGTAGTATGTGGTTCACTCAAAAGGTATCGTTAATCAAACAAATGCTAGTGTCCTTCACTGCATTACAATTTTCAGTTTTTTTTCTTTTCTTAAAATGTGTATACATTTTTGGGGCACCCTCTGTCGAATCAACTGGGTATGTGCATAAAGACAGAGCAATTTATTTTAAGGCATCGCCTCATGCGATTGTAGGGGCTCCCAAGTCCAACATTTGCAGGGCAGGCCGGGGAGGACTAGAAATTTAGGCATGAGCTGATGGTTCAGTCTTGAGGTCAGATTCCAAAAGGCAGGACAGCAGACTGGCTGGTGTTTGTTGAGGCTTATTTTTGTCTGTAGCTGTTGGTGTTTCCACGTTGCTGGCTTGCTGGCGTCTTCAGCTCTATGAGGCAAAAAAGAAAACCCGGAGAACAAACCAAGTATCACTGACTAGATCCTGACTGAGGTAACTGCCTTCTTTATATATGATGTCCAGGGTTTTTAGTTTTACTTAAGTGGGAGGAATAGGGACAAGACGGCTACTCCACTTCCCAAAAGCAGAAGTGTTCAGATTACTTTTTTACATGTAGTTGAATGTGTTTCCTTTTGTGGCTTCTGAGTTTAGTATCATATTTAGGAAGACTTCCTTCATGCCAAAGTAGTTAAGGATTCTCTCATGGTTTCTTCTGGAACTGATTTTTTTTTCCACATTTAAATCTTACCCATTTACATTTAAATCTTAGCCATTTGAAATTATCCTGGGATTAAGTAGTTTTGTATGAGTTTATCAATTAACTATCAACATTGTCCTGAATTGGCCCATTATGTACCTACCTGAATTATCCTAGACAAGTTATGATCACCATTTAAAAAGACGCTTTTGTGTATTTATAAAACTAGAACTTTGTCTTTAAAGAATATAGAAACTATTGGATTGATGTATGTTTGCAACAGATGGCACGAATTCATTTTTGGAAGTACTAGAGTCATTTGCATCTATGTATTGCTATGTCATTTGACAGTTGACAGTTCTAGCTTCATTCTAAAAAAATATTGAGCGATTTGGTTGAGTTTTGGAGATTTTACAACAAGTTGAAGATGGAAGACCAAATTGTGCATTTTTGCCATATTTTACTGTTTTACTTCCATAAAGGGAAGAACGCGCATCAAGCTTGTGAAAAGTTGCATCAAGTTTACAGTGACAATGCTCTACAAGAACGTCAGTACCAACGATGGTTCATGAAATTCCATGCTGGTGATTTTGATCTCAATGACGCTCCTCGGTCAGGGAGGTACACCGAGGTTGATGACGACAAAATAAAGGCATGGATCAAATCAGACCCACGTTATACGACACAAGAGATTGCAGAAGCATTGAACATCCATCATTCAAGCATTCATGCCCACCTGAAGAAGCTGGACTATTAAAGCAAGCTCGATATTTGGGTTCTGCATGAACTCAAAGAAGTTCATTTGATGGCGCATATAAACATCTACAATATGCTCATTAAACGTGAGGAAAATGATCCTTTTTTGAAGCAACTGATAACTGGTGATGAGAAGTGGATTGTTTACAACAATGTGGTGTACAAACCATCTTGGTCCCAACGTGATGATTTGCCTCAAACAACATCGAAAGCAGACAATCATCAGAGGAAGATTATGCTCTCAGTGTGGTGGGATTTTAAAGGTTTCCTGTTTTTTGAGCTCCTACCAAGGAACCAAATAATCAATTCGAATGTGTACTGTCAGCAATTGGACAGTTTGAACGAATCCATCATCCAGAAATGTTCAGAGCTCGATAATTGTACAGGAGTTGTGTTCCATCGCAACAATGCAAGACCACACACAAGTTTGATCACCCATCAAAAATTATTGGAGCTTGGATAGGATGTGTTGCCACATCGACCATACTCGCCTGACCTTGCGCCATCAGACTTCCACTTGTTTCTCTCTCTTCAAAACTCCTATAACGTTCAATTCAGATGAGGCTGTAAATCAGCATCTTATTCAGTTTTTCACAAAAACAGATCCTTGTATGAACGAGGAATTATGAAGCTCACTGAAAGATGGCAAAAAAGGTTATCAAACAAAACAGGCAATATATCATTGATTGATCTTTGTTCTTTATATAAATAAATGACCTTTGAAAAACATAGACAAAATACGTCATGACTTTTACAACAACCCAATAGGTTACAGCTATATTTTTTTGGGAAAAAAAATCTCCTGTTTACCTACTGAAGAAATTCATAGAAGAAGAAATTTGCTAGGCTGGCCGAGTGGCACGTTGCTTAAGAGCTGGCTTGGGACGCCTGAGGGCCCCGGTTCGGATCCCACATATGAGGGCCAGTGGCACTGCCCTCTACAGCTAAGATGCTGAACAACAGCTCGACCTGGAGCTGGGCTGCTGTGAGTCACCGACAGCATAGGCTGCAGCCTCTGTGGCAGTGGGTTGCCATGGGCTACCGTGTGTAGCCAGCGGCCAGAGTGAGTGGCCAGCAGCCGCCATGAACGGCCGTCCAGAAGCCAGCGACTGATCTGCCTCTTCCAGGAAGAGCACAATGATGGTGCCAACTTGGGCCAGTGAAGCAACGTCCTCCACAACTAGACTGAAGAACAAAAGGACAGCAAATTGTCTGTTCCCTTTCTCCCAATTCCCCAGCACTGTTCCCATCCCCCAATTCCCCAATAAAAATCTTTAAAAAAGAGATTTGCTTCTTACTAAATTAAGATCTTGCTGTTTGCCTATACATATGATGCTTTAATAGTAATGTACTGGAATACTAAAACCATTCTAATCCTTTAGGTCCTATTGTTGTTTGAGAAAAATTTCTTAATGCATACTGAAAATAATCCAACATGGTAAAAAAAAAAAATCTGGGCTGACCACCTGTTTTCATGGTATTATAATGGAAACATCTATTTTAGGTTATTTATGACAAAGGAAGGAATTATAATCAGAACCAACCTCATTTTCTCTTAAAGCTCATTTTATAACCACCCCTTCCCTGAAATGCATTCGTGGAAAATTTTTATTGACATGGTTTATACGTGAAGTCCCCTTTGGCCGATGTAAAAATTCCTATTTATGTCAGTTACAGCTGTGTTCGTTCCGTTTCCTATCTCAACATTCATTTCAATGAAGGGGAAAATCACTGCTGCATTTCCACACCTCTTGGTTTTCCTATTTCCTTCTGCTTTTTAAATTAACTCTCCATGCTATCCAAAGATAGGGACCATGATGACAACACAGAATGATGTCAACACAAACACAAAAAACAATTAAAAATCAGGGAACTCAGGTAAAAAACATATTTGTGTGCAAGGGCAGCCTGAGAGGACTATTTTACTACCCAAAGATAAACGTTTACCTGTGTGTAGATGAGGTACCTTGATGAATGCAGGAAGGCTGACATGATTGACAGGTTCAGACAAAATCTGCCTGCTGACTTCATAACCAGTTACACCTCTTAACACTGAATATACTCACATGAAGTCTTCCTACAGCAGTGTTGTGTAGTGTGTGCAAAAGATGGATGTGTTTGCGGCTGGGAGAAGAGTAATTGAGTGTAAGGAAAAGGAACCAGCCGGATAGAAGAGTTTGATCCGTGAAGTAAGGTGAGAATTTTAGTGATTTTGATTTGCAGTTGTACATAGGAAAATAATTATTACTTTGTTCTCCAATATTTGCTAATTTTCCTAATAGCTGTTAAGTTCTCTAATACTTCTCTCTAGTAATTGCCACCCCCTGACAGCAATAAACTATGAAACAAGAGCTGTTATATGAATGGGCACAATTTATTTCACAATCAACACAAGATCCTATGAAACAGCGCTGTCTTCAGCGATCACACTCTAGCTCTGTTTAAATACTACACACTCTAAAAACTGATGCTAGAACATTCTATAAATTACAGTTATAGATCAGTTTCTGGACAGGAAGGGTCATGTGAAAAGCTTACAAGGAAGATAAAAGTCAGCCTTTTAAGTGGAATATGGCACATGAATTAGTTTTATAATTGTGGGAACAGAATGTTTGGCCGTTCTTTAATAAAAAAATTCATGATAATTTTTTTTTAAATGCACATGCTGAGATAACTCTGACAATGCCAGAAATTGGACATTTCTAATGGTACAAATACTGTAGATGAAACATCACTGCAGAAACGACCTCAAGTTTAGCCTGCTCAAGATAATGCCTATAGAAAGCTATAATTAGCTGAACTACGACAAAGATTCTTTACCATAGAGCCTTTCTTCATTTCGTTACATCCTGATAAGCAGAATTTCACTATTCTAAGTGCTATTTATATGCATTTTATTCACATATAACTTAGGATACTTTTAATTACCCATCTCTGTGCCTATAAAAGTTTTCTTTCCCGAAAAATCTCCTTTCTCCTACACCTGCTCCGCTGAGCCCTTTGTTCCCTAGGACCTATATTTCTTCTTTATGGGGTTTTATTTGCCTTTGAAAACAATTGCTGGAAAGCGGGCCTCAGCAAGGAAATAGAACGGGTTCTCCTATATTTTGGAAAAAAAATTTTTTTCCCCTAGGACTCTGTCCTATTACAGAACAGAAGCCAGCAGGAAACGAGGACGTGGTCGACAGAGCTTAGCCGGAAAGCACCTATTCTATGCCACGGTGCCTCGCGGGTGTCACAGGCAAGGAGGATGGATACAGTCACATGAGCTCTCCGGCTCCCTGCCGGGCGTGGCGCGGCGCATCCACGGTATGCCGGCCCTTGTTCTTTTACTCCTCAGACACCTGGGGACCTGCAGGAGCTTCCTGTGCGCCCTCCAGCCCAGCATCACACTGCAGAGATGCTCCTTCCTCTTCCACAGAATCCTTAGGCTTGCAGCCTGCTTGGGAGGCTGCCGTTTCAGACGCCGGCTGCTCTTCATTAACACAATTAGAATTGACGTCGAGTTTGCCGTCTGATCAAAAGAGGGAAAAACGGGTCATTTTGTTCCTATCACGTGCCAGACACTCTTCTAAGCACTTGATGTGTATGAAAGCTATTTCATCCTCATAATAACCACATGAGGTAAATTATTCTCTACTATCATTATTTTACAAATGGGGACACTGAGAAGAGAGGGGTTTGGTAACTTGCTCAAACGTTTCACAGCTAGCGACGCAACATTTGAACTCAGGCCCCTGGCTCCAAAGCAAGGCCTTGCAACAAGGATTGTTGTCTGGGATCTGACACAATCTGCATTCAAATACAGCTTCGCTATGAACCAGCTTGGTGTCCAAGGGTAGATAATTGCCAGCATAAAGTTGTTTCCTTACCTACAAAGAGGGGGATGAGAAAGCCTAGCTTACATTCCTGGTGAAGAAAGGTATTTCTAACACAGAATAGCGTGCGGCGAGCACTGAGGTTAACAGCCGGCAGTTCCACCGACAATCCTGTTCTCTCCCATCTTGTGTAGAACATGACCGGCTGTTACTCACGACCCTCAACGCACAGGATACAAGTTTTGTCCAGAAAACAGGAGGAAGCATGGCAGTCAGAAATCCTGACGATCGTCTTAACAATGTAAGTATACAAATTAAATTACATTTTGTACAAATTATTTAATCCCACTAGTAGTGTTTCTCAACCAAGTAGTAAAGGGGACATGGTCCCTTGAGGGGGTGAGGGTGGAAGTGCTTAGTAGCAAAGTCACCTGGGCAACTTTTTCAGGCTCCATGCACTACCCAGCATGTATGCTACATTCTCTCGGGTGGGACGCAGGAGTCGGGGGGGGGGGGGCCCTTCCCTCTCCAATATGCAAATCACTGTTGAAGCAACTCACTGTTTCTGATGAAAATGAGTCATACACCTCATGAGGGACAGAGAGGAAAAATACTATGGAACTCACTGGCCTGACACTTGCAGAAATTTAATCTGTGCATTAGATCTGCAATTTAATTTGTAATTCATAAATTTCTTCTGTAATTTCACCTGCAGTTTTATAATTAAGAAATTTAAAAGCTTGCAACCTTAAAATCTTTGGGTAGCCATTAGGGGCATTTAATTATTCCCTTATTCAAAGACCTTAAAGTCCTTTATGAATAGAACATAACTAAATACAGAGTCCCACTGTTTTGGGGCAGTCTCGTGAGTCAGAAAGTAGAATGTGGAATAAGCTACATTCGTCATAATTTTATGTCCTTTGTTTTCCAGTGACATTTAGGCTGACTATCTTCTATATATTATCCCAAGGATTCAAAATAGGGACACTTTTGAGTTTAAGTGTGATCCTTATGTCGGTGGCCCCAAGCTTCCTTGGTCCCCGGAGAAGCCTCAGCTCCTGTGTGTCTTGTGTTCATAGCATCTGTCATTCCCCTCCCCACGGAGAAGCAGCATCGGCTCGGGTTTCATATACATACTATTCTCCTCTTCGCTCTTCCCTTTGGCAGTCTCAACCTGTTGTTTCTCATAAGTGTCCTTGAGATGCTTACAGATTTTCTTATGTGCAAACCAGTGCGTTTTCTGGCAGGTCTGATCACAGTATATTACCTGAAAGAAAGCAACTGTGGGTTTATTTTCAAGAGCTGTGATTGCAGGATTTTCGAACAGTGACATGAAACCAAGAACGATGCTGTAAAAGTGTTAAGTTTTCCTATACTTTGTTTTAAAATGATGATGTGTGGATGTGTATTGATTTGTATTTGCAATTTTTAGCTTACACTTTATAACAGTGATGGATACATAACAAATGGTCTACCAAACATTCTAGCAAATGATTTATCTAAAAACCTATTTTTTTGCCAGGATTGGTACAGTACAAGGATAAAGAAGACGCCATTGTTACCTCAGAGGAAGCTCGGATGAAGAAAGGGCAGGATGGGGCAGCATGTGGGGAGGCAGACACCTAACAACGTAATTTATATCCTAGCACAGGATGTAACAGCAATGGAAAATGGAAGCACAGAGGAAGCAGTGACGCATGCTAGCTGGAGGAATCAGTAGACAAAGAAATGGATAAGAAGCATTCCAAGTACAGGGAATATCTTGCACAAAAATGCAGGAATAGGGAAATGAATGACATGTTCAAGGACATGTTCAAGAAGTTTGCGTACATGGAGCTTAGATTTTTGCAAGATTATATGCCAAGCACTGTGCTAGGCCTTACACAGAGGTGGTGCTGGCTGTATTACTGGCCCTAATTCTTCCCTGCATCCATACGCTTTCCCACGTGATCACAAAGTTCTTTTCACCGAAGGGGGGGAGGACTGACTTTAATAGTGGCCATGGGACTAGTATTGGCCAAAGGAATGAGTCAGCATGGCAATTTCAGGAGTCCTTGTGTATTTCCACTTGCCCACTTATTCTTCTGCCATCACCAGGAGAACAGGCTCAGGCAGGCCTGCTGGTCCAGGGAGAGTGGGAGACACACGGAACAGGAGTGCCCTGGCGGAGCCCAGCCAACCACAATTGTGGGAGAAATAATGACTGTTGTTTTAAAGACTGAATTTTGGAGGGTGTTTACATGCAGCAATACTTAACCAATGCAGATGGTATCACTTAATTCTCACAGCTCTAGCCCCATTTCAAAGCTAAGAAAACTGAGGCTCAGAGAAATAAGTAAAGGAGATGAAGGTGGAGATGTAGGTGACAGCAGCATATGATGAAGAATAGCAACCTTAAAAACAGCAGGAAATTAACATTATCTGTAGGGTTCAGTGAATGTACAGACCCATGTGTGCAATAGCTGAATGTGAGAAGAGCACAACAAGCAGACAGGCTCTTTAATAAGATAATTCTGGCAGAAATGGGTAGTGAAGTCCAGACAGTGAAAGGCTGGTGACAGCAGGGAGTTACAGTTTTATAAGGAAGAATTGATGAAGATTGTAGTTAAAGTCATATCAGAAGATTTAAGATTGTATATCTATGAATTGTCTTATTCTAGGTTCTCCTATCTGCACCAGCCTCAGTTCCCTATGGATAATCTTTCTCTTATAGTCAGTCATTCATTCATTCACATCCTTTCTTTCTTTGGGAGGTCAGCACAGACGTTGGGACAGGCTGGGAGTTTGGCAGAAGGCAGAGAGGTCACAGAACTACATTTCTCCCATAGTTCTCTCCCAAATTACTTTGAAGTTTTAGATGCAATACTTTGTTTGTATCTAACTATTAGAATTTATTCGAAAACTAATGTCAGCCATTATATTTATAGAATATTAAAACTCAGTGATCGGGCCGGCCGAGTGGCGCGATGGTTAAGAACTGGCTTGGGATGCCAGAGGGCCCCGGTTTGGATCAAACATGAGGGCCAGTGACACTGACCTCTACAGCTAACATGATAAACAAGAGCTTGACCTGGAGCTGGGCTGCCGTGAGTCTCCGACGGTGTAGGCTGCAGCCCCTGTGGCAGTGGGTTGCCATGGGCTACCGTATGTAGCCAGCAGCCAGTGTGAGCAGCCAGCAGCCGCAGTGAGCGGCCGTCCAGAAGCTGGCGACTGATCTGCCTCACCCTGGAGGAGTGCAATGATGGTGCCAGCTTGGGCCAGTGAAGCAACGTCCTCCACAACTAGATTGAGGAACAAGGAGGACAGCAACTTGTCTGTTCCCCTTCCCCCAATTCCCCAGCACTGTTCCCATCCCCCCAATTCCCCAATAAAAATCTTAAAAAAAAAACAACTCAGTGATCAACTTGGATGAAATCTATACCAGATGCCAATGAACTTCAAAGAACATCTTTCTTACCATTTTGCACACCGAGCATCTTTTGCTTGCTCCCTTTTCGCCGCAGGTGGTGCAAAATTCAACGTCGACGAAACCCACCTGACCAGTGATGGCTTGGGTAAGGACAGAGAATGCCGTGGGATCAGAACCCTAGAGTGGGTGTAAAGAGGAGAGAAAACACTCTGAAATCACCATGGAAAGGCTACTGAGATGACACTCCATGAATAATGTTATCTAGAAGCAGACATGCAAGAGACAAAATCATTAAGACTAGAGATTACAGACATTATCTATGACAAAATGACAAATACCCTTTTCGGCATACCTTTTTCTATACGAAGTATATGGGGGGGTAAGTCATGGCTCCAAATATTCAAAAAGAAAAAAATGGGCCCTATTCTAGAATAAAAGTATTTTTCAATTAGGATTATTCAATAAGCCCACAAAGATTTCAGACACAGAACAATGAGCTCAGAATGGAATTTTCTTAGAACATTGTTTTACACATTGTTCTGCAGACTCGAGGTAGTCAAACAACATACTCAAAAGATTTAAGAAGTACAGTAATACCTCAGTTTGCGAGCATAATTCGTTCCGGAAACAAACTACTCGTATTGCAAGACATCACTCGTTTACCAAGTTTAAATGTATCATTAGGTTGGTGCAAAATTAATGCCATAATGGCAAAAACCGCAAGTACTTCTGCACCAGCCTAAGAGAAATGTTTGCTTATCTTGCAGAACACTTGCAAACCAAGTTACTCACAATCCAAGGTTTTACTGTATTTTAAAAGTAGCACTCATTTTGAAATTGTCATGCTCCTCCTGAAAACAAATAATAAGGACTGGGTTTCTTTTCATATTAAAATGATATGAGTTCTCTTTAGGAATTAAGATAGTATAATGGTGAGGGGGGAAAAATAGGTGAAATTAAACCAGATACTAGATATCTAAATTAATAATTTCACCAGGATAAACACTTATTAATCTATATAATTATTGGGTTGTCAGAAAAGTCATGATGCATTTTTGCAACGAAAAACATTAAAAAAATGCATCATGACTTTTCTAACAACCCAATATTTTACCTCAGAAGTAGAGTACTGGATTAGACAACAGTCTAGTCCACAAATCAACAGAGTATGATATATTAAACTGATTTACAATTACAGTTTTATGTTCAAATATTTTTTCACAAAATCGAGTGAGACATGTTCAAAATATTCCCCAAAATCAGACTTTGGTGGAAGTCAGAACCTAACAATATTCTCACAGATGTAACCGAAGATAAAACTAAATGATATTTCGCTAGAAGCATGGCTGCTAAAGTGAACTATTCCTTTTAGAAAAAAATTGATGGCACAGCTGAGTCACCACATGGAATCTTCCTTGCCACAACTGGATGACAAGAACTCTTTCTTGCTATAGAAAATCTTGTCATCTACTTTGTTAAACAAGAATTGGTTTAAGTACCAAAGCTCCGCCCATGGAAAACATTCAGCCTACAAACAAACAAGATACTGTATTCAATGTCCTATCCAATCAGATACATTATAGCCTTCCAGAACTTTGATACAGCAAAACAGCTTTAACAGAATAATCTGTTATAATGCTGGAGCAACATTTCTTAGGTGTATCCATGCCTCACACTTCCTGCTGAACTCTGGGACAGGCAGAACAGAGTTCCACATTAGGCAGAGGAAATCAACCTCTGCGGCAGGGCTCGGGCATCAGCATTGTCAGAAAGGACAGGGGCGACCTTCATGATAGCCAGCCAGGAGAACTCCACGTTACAGGAGAAGGTTAGCACTGCTTCAAGGCTTATGAACTTGCAGTATAAGGAAACCCATTCAGAAGTAAAGAGTGGCTAGCTATTTGGGACAGTCACAACCACAAGCATTCCAGATAAAGTTTTCCACAGAGCAGAATATGTAAGTCTTAAAGAACAAAAATTTTTAGAGAGAAAATTTTCTAAAATGTATTAAATCCTATCTTATCTTTATTAATCCACATGTTCTCCATCACTCAGATCACTAGGATAAATAGCCATTTATACTCCATAAACTAACTACATTAATCTATGATATGAGGCTAAGATGATGAATTGTTGACCCCTCCACTGACTTGCTTTGACTTTTTTTAAGTACTCTGGGCTGCTAGTTATAGTTTTTGTTTTTTTCCCCCGCGAAGGTAGAAAGTCTACTACCACTTGGTAGCGCTGGAAATACCCCACAGCAGCCACTGCTAGCTGTTTCTCTGACAGTCATTCCACCAAATTCCTTACTAATAGAAGCATAATTTTGTTCAGTGCAGCGGTGTTTAGACCAGCCCAAAATACCCATTTTCCTAGACGCCTGTGCAACTAAGAGGGGTCATGTGACACAGGCAGTGTTTCTGGGAGCTTGTGTTTTCCAGTCACAGACCCCTTTCCTTTGATTGCCTGCCTAAGATAGGAATGTGAGCTTGGAGGAAGAGCACAGATGCCAGCAACCATGGGGTGGTAAGCATGTGTACCATCATCTATATGGCTAAGGGAAAAGGGGAAAATGTTGGAGTCCCCAATCTATTTTTGAGCCACTGCGCCAGATTTGGTCTGCCTATCTTTGGGCTTCTGAGTTTAAGTAAATAAATAAACCCTTATCGTTGGCTGGAGTTTGATATGGGCACATTCATAACTGATAAACCACCCTCCTGATTGGCTAACTTTAATTTTCCAAAAGCTTGAACACTACACAGCCAAGTATATTAAAGAGGGGAAAGCATCTCTGTGGGAAATCACGCAGAGCGCTCATGCGTAAGTCAACACATGAACTTTATGCCTAAGAAGCAAAAGCTCATAAAGGATTTGACTGGTGGAGAGGAGGTGAACAGAAACCTATTCAACATAGTGAAGGCAGCGAGAGTCTTAGGAGATACTCCTGAAATAAATACATGACGCAAGGGCAGTAAATAATTTAAAGAACAGTAAGAAAGTTAAAATTGACTTACCACAGCTGTGAAGTATAAACAGACTTTTTTTTTTTCTTAAGAATGGAAAATTTATAAAATGAGAGGCATTAAGGTAGACTAGAAGAAGCTGGGACATACTTTGAGATTGCTTATCAGGACACACATGCATCCCTTCACATCTTCACTGACCGGAAGCACCAACCTAGGCAATGAATTCCTCCTCTCATCTAGCGTGGGACTCTGCTGGTGTTTCACACGCTCCAGGGGAACACGTATCTTATCTGTATTACACAGTACCTGTGTACCCACTTTTACAGGTTTCCCAGAGGTATTTAAAACGTAAGTCTTCACTATAAACATCTACATTCTGACACAGGGCAATACTGCTGATTAAACCACGAGCTGCGCAAACGGAAGCAAAGGGTCGAGAGAATGGAAAAGGATCAACAGAAACAGGGCTAACAGGCAGACCTATCTCCATGTTTGCTGCTGAAAATTTTGTAAAATAATAATTCTTTCGTAATGAATGAATGCTGAAGAGAATGTGCCTGTAATTGTACAAAATATGGTTCATTAGGGCTCACTGACAGAGGTAACTTAGTTATTAGGAACCTTACAATTTCAACAGGAGCAATGCTTCGCACCAGCTGCTGCAGGAGTGTAGCTTCACAGTAAGGGAATTTTCGGATACTTTCTCGAATGACCTTCTCTTGATACACCGGAAAGCCATCAGAGGGTCGGCCTTTTAACAAGCTGAAAGATATTTTTAAAAGAGTCACAGGAGCTGAATCACTAAGCATTTCCTCTCAGCTGAACCCATAAACTTTCAGTAGTTCCTTATTTGCTAACGTAACATTTTCATTGTCTCTTCAAATTGCGATGACAGGCTCAATTCAAACGGCTTCTCTTAAGTCCAAGTCAGGTTATGCCTTATCAGGTTTAGGGGCCCAGAGAGGTATTTACAAAAGCGACCCCCCGCCATAAAACACAGATACACTGTTATCAGTTAGCTAGTTACTTATTACCACATCAGTTATTTGTACAAAGAATGCAAACTCGCTTGAAGTCACACCCTTCCGACTTAGTTCACTTTTCTCAGAACCACAGGAGAATTTGATCCCTGGTGGTCAGAGAACAAGAGTGCCACGGCTCTCCCAGGAACAGTGACAAAAATACAGTGTGTCGTTATGAATCCAGAGCAGCAACCGATGGCATAGCATACCGATCCTCACGTTTAGACCTGGGCTGCTTTCTAGCTGTCTGATCTTATGCACACTATTTAACCTCTCCAAACCTCAGATTCCCACCTGGCATTGGGGGTAACAAAAGCACTGTTGTCAAGAGCACAGAATGGAGTAATCACTCAATCTAAGTATAAAATGGTCCCTGGTTTGGTGCAGACTAAAATGTGGATCCCAACAGGAACAACTACTGCTAAAATGCTTAAGCTTTAAATCTATGACAAGGTTTCATACAGTAAAACATCATCCATTTCAGTGCATTTCATACACGACCCGGTAGAAACGGTACCTTTTGATCAGAGTGTCCAGCTTATTCTCTCCGTCTTTTAAGAAGTTAATACATTTCTGAAAGACGCAGCTGAGGTAATGCATTTTCATCGCCAACACTTCATTCATGTCTCTCTGCTTCATACATTTCTCACAAATCAAGTCCATCACCTTGTAGCATTTACTCAGAGCTGCTGCTTCTGCCAGCAGAGGATTCTCATTTACAAGCATCACGATCTGGAAGAAATGCTAGTGAGCTTAGGAACCCCGTGAGACACTTTTCCAGGTCAAAATTAGGCAATCAGTTTTAGTTGATTACAAAAGACTAACAAATAACATTGTTCTTACAGTCATATGTTTACTATGTGAATTCAAATTAGAATGGAAACTGCCACTGTCAAAGTTATAAAACTGATACAGAAGGACCTGAGATTGTGTAATCTCTTGAATTCCGTATGTCAAAGTTGTCACTTGGTTTGACATCGAGCTAAACTGGGATGTTTGTTAGCATGCCACCTGGAGTCATGGTTTCAGTGTCCCTGGTAAAAGCACTTTTACTAACGATAAACATGGCATTTTTGCACACCCTTTACATAATCAAATCAACAAGCAATCACTGCTTTTTGAATTTAAAATTTGAGCTTTAGAATTTCATGGCTGGAAGCACTGAACTCATTAATTCTTATTAATTACAAGGGAATGAGATTTTTCCAGAAAGAAGTCTAAAAATAAAAGGTGTATTACTTTCTGATTGACTATATTTCACAGTGGAAATTTCTTTAATGTGTTCTAACCATCGATAGCAATGAGAACAGGTCAAAGAGCAAAGCAGAAATAGCTTTAAAAGGAGGGATGGTAGAGTTATTAAATCTGATGCATCATGAGTCGCACCCTTGCTGTTTATGCACAAAGTAAGCTCCAATGCAGTGCACTGAGGAGTACTTCTTTTTGGCTTTGTTGTAGTGTTAATCACCTGCAAAGGACAGCTGTAAAAATCCACGGTGACATGACATGACAGTAATGCAAACGTGTGTAGCATAGGCATGATTGTATGCACAGAGCAGAAAGTCAGCCAGTGTTTGTTAACCTCCATGTTACAGCTAAATACCTACCCCGGGTAATATGTGTGTAAATGTTAGGGAACAACAGATAGAAGAGTTCATAAATTAGATCCTTTTCTTTTTTAGATCCTTTTTCTTCAGACATAAAGAAAGATAATTTGTTAAGTAAAACCCAGGCCTAACCTCCTACTTGGAAATTTAACACAGGTTAAATGTTCTTGTGAAATTATGATTTTCACTTATTTGATTACACTACTAGATGGCTATATAATCTAGTATTTTACTTAAAATATAGCACTCAATAATAAATTATTAGAGTTCATGAAATAAGTCCAATCAGAATCCCTGCTGGTTAATCCCTGACAGCTTTACCTACCATATCCAAAATTTACATTTGGCAGAGAAGACTCATTAATTACCTGCTTATATTTCTGCAGTTAACTGCAATCATTTGAAGCTGTTTTTTTTAAATATTTTTGTATACATGATTCATAATCAAAGCACAGGGTCTCAAACTTACAAGTAGGAATTCTTCAAAAAAAAAAAATCTCCAACACAACCCAGATTAACGATTTTTTTGTTTGTTAAGACATTAGGCTTTATTTATTTTATAATATACAGCAATATATATAAAGAAAAAATTATATATAACCACAGCTCCATCATGAGCTTACTGCAACATTTACATAGCTACACACAAAGAATAATACTTTAATCTCTGCAGCGCACTAGAAAGTAATACATTATAAAGGAAGCCCTTATTATTTATTATCGAGGCATTGAGGAGGAACAAATATATTCCTGTAGGCAAAAAAAAAGACACAGGTATCTTGTCTCCCAAATAATGGCTACCTTAGAATATGTTTATACGGTGACATTTTGAATTCTTCTTCTTTCTTAAATGCCATTTTAAAAAAATTACTAAATCAACAATTATGGGCTTAAAAATCATAGCCATCAAAAATGGGATCACTTGCACATATCTGCCTCCTGACCACTTAGAGGCCCTGCTCAACTCTGTTGTCATTTTTCCTGACTCTGGCTTTCCCCTTTTAACCTCTGTACTCCTGGCGTCAGCACCACTCCTTATTGCTAATAGCCTCCATTTAACCTGGATACAGTGTAGCTGTGTTCGGTGCACTGTAGCAAAAACATGAATTGTGTATTGAGGATTCCTATGCGTATGTTAGAAAGTCTTTAACCCTATAGAGTGGCTGTTAATTATATTTTTATAACACTCCCTATGAAGACCGATGCCAGCTTGAAAAGGGCTAAAGGAATAAACGGCGGCCACCACAAAAGCAACTGGGCAGCCTTTATCTGAACGAGTGGGTAAAAGAAAGGTTTTCAGGTGAATAGACTATTTATACCTACAAAAAGCAAGGTCTGGTCTGAAGGAAGGTGCTGTAATCACAGAATTGTCTCTATTATAAGACCAAGTGCCCTAAAAAATATAATATAGGTTATTTCAGTGTTTGTACCTTTATAATTTATTACCTGTATAACTATGCCCTTAATCTAATTTACTCAAAATATATGCCTTTAAAGATAATTGGAGGTATAGTAATTCTTAGGACAGTTAACCCTGAGGGACTAGGTTCCACGTAAACATCAAAAATGACTCCACGGTAACGGAGATTATTGCAATCTCAAGGAGTGCAAACAGTGAATCAGAAAAATGGAAGAAACTTCTTCAAATCAATCTAAACCAGAACATCCTGTAATGCTCAGGCTAAAGGAAAACAACAAGGGCTTTGTGAATCCACACACGTTCTCTACACTGAGAAAGACTGACTCCCTTGCAAAAATCCTAACTTGTCGCCTCAGCCTGCCCCACCCCTGAGGAGATCTCTTTCCTCTATGCTGGGTGGATCAGAACCACTGATACAGAAGAGGCTAAATATTTTTTAAAGGTTAAATTCCAAGTCCTATATAATCTGAACTAGGAATATAAACATGTGACTCACAGCTGAATTTCTTTTGTGCCCACTTAGGATTGCAAGTGTTGCCTCTAGCAGTTTTTTCAGACGTTATGTAAACCATTTCAGTTTTGAAAAATAAAATCAGAATAGACTCTACTTGTCTGGCTTACGGGAGATAGCTGCTAGTTTGTCATCTCTCTTTTGATGGCCCAGAAAATCAATTTGGGTGAAGGGCCACATGATAGGTATTTTTGTTGGTTTGTTTGTTTCTTAAGCTTCAAAGACTATATACAAACGGATGCCTCAATAGAGAAATTATATACAATTTGGAACTAATCTCTCCAAATGAGTGTTAGCTGTCAAAAGAGTTTATGAAAATTGTCCACTTACTTTATTAGTGTTCAGTATACTCCACAGATTCTACTTTTGTAATATTCTTCTAAGGAAATCTATTTTAACTACATTAAAATAATATCTTGTATTAAGGGAAAACCTCAATTTTTGACCCAACTCACTGTTTTGCTCACCAAACAGCTCTGAATTGCTAAGAATGAGGACATATGACAGACGCTGAAATTTGATCACGGATAGCATCATTGGAGCACATATGGTGTTTTCTGCAATGATGCACTGAAGAAATTGTACTCATGTGGACTGATTAAAAAATTATTTTATAAACAAACAAAAACGCTGTGTATAAAATATGAAGAAAATAGCAGTGAAAATAGTTCAGAAGTTTCCCAGTGAAGCCACTTGAACTTCCTGGTTGGTCTACAAAATTTGCAAGTCTCTGAGTTGACTAATTACTGAAGGAACTGAATTACTTAACGGCATCAAACAGCTACTGGCATTGAAAAAATCTGTCCCTGATTACATTTCAGAACATCTCTTGGAGGGATAATCACTGGAGTAGATGCTGTTGGGGCCCTACCCAGATCCTCTTCACCAGGCCTGTACACCAGGTCCCAGCTCCTGGGAGTGCTGGCTGTTATGGGCTCAGAGCTGCCTCCTTCCCCGGGGGCTGCCTTCACTCAAAGGGAGCCACCTGGCTTGGCACTATTGGGGAGACTGTCCTTCCCCTCTGAGACAGGCCTCAGCCAGTGACTGATATGAAAGCCTGGCTCCTGTGCCTCTCCGGAGCCATTCATGGCCCAGAGCTCCCTGGGAGATGACGTGGAGGCGGGGCTTCACCTGCACCCACCTCGTTACCTAGCTTTTCTTCCTCTCTAGTCTGTGTTCCCTCACTCTCTTCCAGGTTTCAACTGAGAGCACTCCTTCACAGCATCAACTGAACAAGAGAGCCCACTGCTAGCTCTCCAGCTACAAAACCCAACCCCAGACAATTATGATCCCATACGGTAAGAGCAGAGCAGCTTAAGCTCTGAAGCAATATTTGAATAAAAGGCGAATATAATAAACGCTCCCCTACCTTGACAGGGTGAAGATTTGTTGTGGTGATAATTTTGTGCAGCGGGCCTGCCAGCTTCGGGGGCAGCTTCGGCTCTTTATCCAGGCCCTGGGGTTTCGTGTAATAATCCAGCCTCTCTCGAGGAAAGAAATTGTTGATTACAGTCACACAGTCATGTTGACCTTTTAACAGAAAAATAGGAAATTGGTTATTTGATTATTTAAAATAAGACATTTTCCAATTTTTCTTTTAAATTACATTGCGCTGTTTCATGTGAGATAAACATGCATTAACATCTTTAATTTTCAGGAAAGGAGAGTAGAGGAGGCGAGGTAAAATGTTTGGGGGAACATTTGTGAAGTCAAGAAATAATCTTTTAAAGACCCAGAGTCCATAATATGTATAAAGATTATGTGGATTACAAAAAAAGCAGTGTTTAACTTATAACTGACCTTAAATATTTTATAAATGTTTCTTGTACTTTACGTGTCTCTTCTCACCCCTACACAAATGATGGTCATTATTCCCCAACCACATCTGGCTTTCTTTATAAAGAATTTAAATGTATAGAACTTTATTATACTAATTATTATTCATAGTAGTAAACTGGTATCCCCTCCCCTTGAATCTGAGAAAAGTTTGGCCTCTTTGTGAAATGAATCAGAGGAAAAGCTTTCGCGCCCATCAGCCTGGAACCCACATTATGGCTTCTCATAGATTCCTGTGCCACTGCGAAGCTGTGTCTAGAGATAAAAATGATTCTATGGAAGCCAAACCTTCCATGGCAAAGTCGGAGGACTGTCTGTGTGTTTCTGGTGCCTCCCTTCCCCCACTGCCCTCTCTACTACCTCTCTGGGGCAAGGAAGTGGCCACTCTGAGCCAGCAGGCAGAACCCGCAGGACACATTTGTGGGTGCAGGTTCTTCTGGGGTCGAGAGGAGGAGAGACTTCTTCCTCCTCTCTGCTTGACGTGGACTGAGGGACCAACAGTGGAGTCCCGGGGAGCAGGCCCAGACACCGGGGCTCCCAGACAGTGGTCCGCCCTGGGAGGCCGGTGTGGTCCCTGCTCACTTATGCACAGTCCTGGAAGCATCTGCTTCCCCTGCCAACAACAGGTGACCTGCAGGCGGACTGCACTGTGGGCCAGGTAGACCCTAGACGGGCGGCTGACAGAGGGCTCTGCTTGTCCAGGAGTTCCTGGAGAACCCGAGAGTGAAGCAGCTGCCTCCTCGTCTCAGCAGAGGACAAAATCCCTACTGGTTTGCGGACTCTGGGCCACAAGTATAGAGATGGTGCCACTTCCCTCCACTGCGGCCTGACCCTGTCAGCTTTACGGGACTGCCCCTAAGCATCCAGAGCGAAGTGTCCAAGATGACCCAGAATCTCGGGAGACTAATCAGTGCCTCCAGCAGGTGGCCTCTTCAGTAAGAAGTGTACACAACCACAACCAAACTAGAACCACAGTCGCCAAACAAGAACACGTAAATTAAGCAGATCAATTACAGTATGTAAACAGACTTTCATGGACAAAGACAGATTCAAGTTTTAAAAGTCAACAAACAAACTTAAAGAGGTAATCCTGGTTACTGATATTTATTACAGACTAAATAGTCATGTAGACGATGAAGTGGATGATCTACGTCAAACAGAGAAAAATTAGGAGACAGGAATCATTATGGAAGCAACAAGAGAACCGAAACAAGATACAGGAAATGTAGTAGTGAAAAATAATGGAAATCCCAGGAAGAAAAAAAAGTAATGGATGGAGAATTGATAATTAAAGCACATAACAGAAAAACGTGTCCCTGATTTGAAGGTAAATTTTAGTAGTGATCGTAATATCATTTTTGGTATTCGATGCTCTTCTTAATTACTGAAACACCAGTTTCTTTTTCTTTTTGATCAGAAAGCTCCATTATATAGATCTTGAAGAGAAGTCAAAGAGTAATAGGATATATTAAAAATCTGAGGTGCTCTGTTTAGATAATGGTAATCTTCAAGAAAACTGAGAGTCGAGCAAATCTGCAAGCGGGACAGACACATGACGGCATCAAAATTAACAGAGAACTGCATGTGGGAATTTACGACTGGATATGAAGAAACTAGAGCAGAAGAAACTATGAAGAAGACAAACTGCATTGCTTCCTTAAAGCAGTCTACATCAAGCTTTAGAAAACAGATGGAAGTTCCTATTGAAAAAAGTGTTGTAAAACCACTCCTAAAAAAATATCAAAATAGACACAGGAAGATTTGAAGATAAAGGGGTGAGAGGAAAATGTGGAATTAGCTTGTAACCACATCTTCTCACCAGTCCCCCAATAATATAATCAGAAATTGCCCTATTAGCAGTTAGAATTATTTGTACATTCGTAAAAATACGAGTTATATAACAATGACACTATCACAGGACTAGGGGTTGCTTAGATCACACCTTCATGAGAAGGAAAAAATACTTATTACTTTACTTTTTTCAAGTAGTGCTTAGATTAATTTGACATTCTATATAAACTAATATGCTAATAATTTATATTAGAGTGATATGTATTTAAAGTTTATCTTTAGACATTTTTACTTAACCTGTATTTACATTTTTATAATCAAGCTATTAAATATTCAGTTTTAGTAGTTTTTAATTTATGAATTCTGAATACATACAAATAAAACACTACTATTAATATGGAAAATAAATGCTGGGGATGAGGGGAACCAGTGCATTATTTTGCTCCAGTGTTACTATCACTAGACTTGAGTCTTCTAGATTAAATGGGCTCATTGAGTCAGTCCTGAGCAGGATTAATGAGAACACACCCAAGTAGACATATCCTAGAATTTTTTTTTTTTTTTTTTACTTTCAAGGATAAACTGAAATTGAGACAGGCTTCCACAATGAGAAATGAAAAACTTATAAAGGAATGTAAATCATATTCTCATTTGTAAAACCAGGATTTAGAAAACCAGAATAACTTCTACATACGATTGTGAGAAAAGAACAGCGATACAAGAATCATGAAACTAGCCAAGATGTGACTCACATTTCAGAGAGGAAGACAGTTTTGGTTATGATGGGTTTCGAACAATATACAACCTACAAACTATCTGAGAAGGTCCTGCCCCTAAAGCTTAAAGGAGAAGGGAGATCTCAAGATGGAACAAGGAGAGGAAGCAGTGGAGAAGAGCCCTTGGCCACAGAGATAATTGGAATGGGTGGAGATAGCACGACTGAGAAATTATATGGTTGACCATGAGAATTACTGAAAGAGAAGTAACACACCAGAGGTACACTCTAATAACATATTAGTCATTTTAGTACTTTTTAATAATCTCTCTCAGCAAAGTCCAGAGCTAGTGGAAGTGATGGAGGAGGAAAGGAAAGGCCTGTTGCCTAACAAAGCAAAAACAAAGGATGTGGAGAAATAAATGAGTTAGAAGGATTTCCTCCGTTGGGGTGGCTGAATGGGCCAATATAGTGCTTGGGGGTGGGACATGGAGTATTGTTTTGTTCCTGGCTTCAGATGGTAATTGAGAAATAAGGATTTAATTGGGAGTGTTGTGAATAGGAAAGTAAACACTAGTGGAAAATAAAAGTATTCTTGATCTTTCACGTTAATAAAAGGAAAAAATGTACTCTAACATGACAAAGCTAATCACATTAAGGAAACACACACACACACACACACACACAAACACGAAAAACCACCACCAAGTAAAATAAAGAGTAAAAAAATGAAAAGAGGAGGAATGCAATCAAGTTTATCAGTAATTATATGAAATATGCATAAGCTGAATACCTAGTAAAAGAGAAAGGCTATCATTTGGGTTAGTTATATAACTTACGTTTATAACTATAGAGGTATAGTCATAATTACCCAACTACATAAAATGATAAAATATTGAAAATAAAGGGATGAGCAAAGAGATTATTGACAAAATGTCAAAAACAAAAAAAGGAATCAGGAATGGCTATAATATCAGAAAAAGAACTAAAAATTAAACAAGACAAAGAATAGTATTACGCAATAAAACCAATAGCAATATCAGAATAAAAAGAAAAAAGCTAAAAATATTTCCATTAAAAACAGGAAAAAGATATGAGATGCCAACTATCCCTACTATTATTCTTCCTTTGAAACCTGAAGCTAATTCAAATAGAAAATAAACAAAAATTAAATAGCTATAAAACCCAGACACTCGAATAAAAATGACAAGGAAAAAAAAAAAAAGAAATCAATAGCTTTCTCTTTATTACCCATAACCAGCTAGAAATGACAAGAGTGTGGCAGTAGTGGTGGGAACTTTCCTGACAAAATAGACAATAACTATCAATTACTTCAAAATAAATTTTAAAAGAAAGGCTGATATGAAGGAATCTAATAAATATTATTGAAGGACCAAAAACAAGTTAAAAAGGCAAAACATAAAGGCATACGATGGAATGGGATGGGAAGTCTTAACATCACACAGATGTCAACTCTCTGCATATAATTATATAACCGTTTAATGAAAGTCCAAGAACTGAAAAGGATTTGGGGAAGGGAGGAATTACATTCAAAGGGAAATAACTGAAAGGACATTTGCTTTACTTTAAAGTCAATGTGATCGAAACAACATGGTATTAATACAGAAAGTGACAAACAGATGTGTGGAAGAGAATATTGGATCCAGAAATAGATACCGGTATATAAGAGAATTAACTCACCATACAAGTGGTATTTCAATTCAGTGGGAAAATGTTGAGTGGTTTAATAATCTGTGCTATCACAATTAACTAAATATCCAGGGGAAAAGGAACTCTAAAATTATAAACTTTAGAAGTACATTTTCTTTTTTTTAATCTGAAGTACATTTAGGAGAATACTTATTTAAACCCTGGTTGAGAAGGCCTCTTTTAGCAAGACAAGAAACATGGAAGCTATAAAAGGAAAACTATGGGGCCGGCCGAGTGGCGCGATGGTAAAGAGCTGGCTTGGGATGCCAGAGGACCCCGGTTCGGATCCCACAT